GTAGGTTTACTATTTTCAAGGAATTATTTCGTTACTTTTTAGTGTACTGTTTTTTTTGAGAATATTTTGTTTTTGGTGTATTTTGTTTTTTGTTTTTGCAATTCTGTTTTTAAGATTTTTCATGTAGCGTGAAGTGTGCGTTTTTTTCCTTTTTGAATATACCAGCGAGTATTAAATTTTTGTTCTTAATTTTTTTTCAATTAAAGTGGTTTTTTAATTGTCTGAAATGCAAAATTCGTTTTATTTTGTTCGCTGTTGGACAAAGGAATAATTATTTTTGTATTCTTTTAGATATGATTTTTTTTTATTTCATAAATCATTTTTTGTTTGCTTTTGACAGATAATTGGAAGATGGTTATGAGATGGTCCAAAGAATGTCTGTCAATTGGCGGCAGTGCTATATTTTATATATGCGGTCGGAAATATTATGGTAAGTTTTTTTTTCCTGTGAACTTTTTAAAAATCGAACAATAATAGAGGGCGCACTCGATTGCCTGACTGTTGCGCGATTGTCGATTGTTTCGCAGCCAATTCAACTGTTTAGTTGCACAATTAAAAATCGAGTAGTTATCACCTCCACACAAATTCAAAGGAATCAAAGCGAGACGAAACAGTCGTGCGATAGTTGAGTCAAAAGTGTGTGCGCTCTTGCTATGGGTCTGAAAAATGCCGCTTAGACATTGACGGTTTCCTAAAATTATAATCCTAGCTATTGCTCGTGACTTCGCCCGCGTGAAGTTAAAAAAAAAGAACATAGCCTACGTTACTCACTCATACGCTAGCTTCTTAACGGTAAAAGATTTTTTGAAATCGGCTCAGTAGTTTTGTAGTTATTTCAATAAATATAAAAATACAAATCTTTCTTCTTTAATATTATTATATACTAGCTGTTGCCCGCGACTTCGTCCACGTAAAATTTGAAAGTTAAAACCTACCTGCTATATGAAAACTGTCGAGTCTGGTCATATTCCGTCACAAACCGCTATGAGCCAGCGTTAACTATGGCTTAGTAATATGCTTCCAGACAGTGGGAACGTATAGTTTGCTGGAGATGTTTTTTATTTCAGTCCTGACAGATCCAGACGATTGTCTGACAGTCGCTAATGCTTGTTTGAACAAAGACATCGTATACAAAAGCGCCAGGTCTTGTTTTGGCGATGGATTAGTTACCGCACCAAGTAAGTATAGAAAATCTTTTTAAACGACTCGGCATGACCTTCCCTGTGGCAATAATAAAAAAATAATGACAGTATTAATTTTTTACACTTATACTCCACAATTTATATTGTGAAATTATTATTTGTTTAAAAATGTCCTAATTGAATAATTACCATTTGATTCTTGTTGGAACTGAAGCCGACTGACTGCGCTCAGTTGTCGAGTCGAAATGTTTATTTTAAACTGTGTAGACAAAATTTTAACTTTCGAAAATTGTAAAATTGATATAAAGACTACTTTCATAACACTATTACTGTGGTAGTCGCCCCCTCCCCCCTCGATAGACTAGGCAATGGCGACGCCCATCAACTATTCAATTAAAACTACCATTCAGATAGCGTAGGAAACTTTATTAATATTTTTAATTCGCTTGTTTTTTTTAAATATCTTTTAACGTGTACATTTATTTTAGCTAACGTTTGGAAAGGTCAAAGAAAGTTGCTGAATCCAACATTTTGTCTCACTCATTTGCTGAGCCTTTTGGGCGTATTCAATAAACAATCGAGGATTCTGTTAGAAGAATTTGAATCACAAATAGGCAAAGAATTCGATCATGGATCTATTATACGACATAACGAAATGAAAACAATTTGTTGTGAGTAAAATTAGAATTAATTAATTATTTTTTCATCATCATCATTAACAGTCTTAGGTCGTCCACTGCTGAACGTAGGCCTCCCCCATCGATTGCCACGATGCCCGGTCCTGTGCCGCCCGCATCCAGTGCACTCCCGCAACCTTGACCAGGAATTAACATGATGAATATGACAGGAATAGACCCGGGTACGTCGTTAAACTGCGCCCAGACCACCGGAGGACGGGAAGCAGCGTCCCTACGTACGGTGGAACTTACTGCGATCGCCAACCCGCCTGCCAAGCGTGGCGATTATGGCAAATTCCCCTCAATGATTGCTGCAATTTATTTTTACAAAACAATAATTTTACAAACAGATAAATTACTCTGGAATAGTATAAAATAGTTTTTTTTTAATTATGCGTGGAATTTTCGAGTTATATTATAAATGGGAATGTTTACATGTTTGGATTTTTTATATCATAATGTGGCAAATGAGCAAGAGGTCACCGGAACCAAAAAAAGTGAATCCAGTTCTGTCCATACGCATCTGCGAATTGCTCTCATTTCACTCCTGTCTTCTGTGTGGTCGTGGTATCGCACCAAACGAGCCCTACAATGCGGAGATGTTAAACCGGATTCTACAAATATTATTGGTTTTTGGATACATGTTAAGTTGTCTCTAAAACTGGTCAATGGATCTTGCTATAGCCTAAGTTACTCAGTAATAACATAGCTTTTTAATAGTGCAAGAATTTTTGAAATCGGTCCAGTAGTTTTTGAGTTATTTCAATACAAACAAAAAAATTAAAAATACAGATCTTTCCTCTTAATAATAACAGTAGAACCTCGGTAAATTAAAAACCTCTATAACTTCAAAAAATAATATGTTCCCTTCCTATCAGAGCCTAAAACCTCTAAAACATAGACCCTTCATAACTCAAAACCTCTATAACTTAAAATATTTTGTGTTTACCTTGGACTTTAACTTAACTACTTTATTATTATAAGTATATAGAACATTGTAGTCTAGCAGAACTACTGATTTTTTTAATTCTCTTCATCCGAATTTATTAGTTAACGCAATAATTTTAATTTATTATTTGTTTTCAGTCACATCACTTGGATTGGATTATAGTAACGATAAAGACACGTTGCTTGAATTCGCCAACGCATTTGATATTGTGATGAATTGCTTTACGGAGCATTTGCAAAAGTTTTGGTATCAAATAAGATTTATTTGGCGTCGGAGTGACCTTAAACGGAAACGAGATACATATTGTAATATTATGAGTAGAATTACCGACACTGTAAGTTTTTATATAGTTACTAGCTGTTGCTCGCAACTTCACGTGAAATTAAAAAATAATAAAAAAGATGTAGCTTATGTTTTGCATGTTATGAGGAGGGATGAATCGCATGTTACAAGGAGAACGTTAGTTATGAATGTGGAAGGGTACACCGGTAGAGGTAGACCTAGAAAGAGATGGATGAATTGCGTGACAGGTGACATGATCAAAACGGGAGTGATGACTGAGATGATGTATGATAGAGTTATGTGGAGGACAAAAACCTGTTGCGCCGATCTTACGGGAGTAGGATAAGGAGAAAGATGATGATGATGATGATGATAGCTTATGTTACTCACTAATAAATTACCTTTCTAATGGTGAAAGAATATTTGAAATCGGTCCAGTAGTTTTTGAGTTATTTCAATGTATACAAAAATACAAATCTTTCCTCTTTATAATAATTTAAAATTATTCTAGACATTTCCTTCTCTTATCTTTCAAGTTTTGTTATTTTTTCGCTGAATGTTGTTATAACTAAAGTTTTCTTTATAACCATTTGCTACTTATTTTTTTCCTACAAGGGGCTATTTTCTGACTTCTGTATATACTCATTTTGTATTTCATTTATTTTTGTCACACACATCTTATAATTTCAGCCACGTATATTTTCTTGCGTCTCTAACTAGGATTTCTTTATCAGATCTGTGCATCAAATAGTTATATATACACTTTACGATTTGTTTATCTGTTTGCATTTCAGATTATAAAAAAACGCAGAGCGGATCATCGTAATAAAATTGTTAGTGGAAATCATGATGAAGGTACTCGAATATGCCAAATTGTAATGTTCAATTGTTACCATTAAATTAAATGGCGTAATAATGTTTGCTTTTGATCCATTGGCCATGGATTATTACTAGAACATTGTATTACCAGAATTGATTGTATTATTGTTTTATTACCTCCATGCTATTGGCTTATTCACACAGATCATAAAACGCTATTGAGGTTATAAGGTTTTAATTGTTTTCGCAGGTACGAATTTTAAACCATTTTTAGACGTTTTATTCGAACTCAAAGAAACGGTTGGAGACGAAGTAATGAGCGACAAACTAATAAGGGATCACGTTAATACGCTGATCATGGCTGGTCATGACACTGTTACAAATGCTTTACAAATAACTTTGATACTTATAGGCTCTTATCCTAAAGTGCAAGATAAAATTTATGCTGAGTGAGTAATTTTTAAACATTTTTGATATACATTTAATGTAAAATGTTGACAATGTTGTAGTAAGCGCCTGTCATTAATATCCAAGCAATGTTTTAAATAAGTACATTAGCATGTGTTTTGTTTTAAGGCTCCAAGAAGTGTTTGGTAATTCCGACAGAGACGTCGAAAAGGATGATTTGAGAAAATTAATTTATTTGGAGGCGGTTTTAAAAGAGGCGATGCGACTTTACACTATTGTACCTATAACGAGTCGCCATTTACATCAAGATGTAAAACTTAGTGAGTAAATGAAACAACAGTTCCTGAAACATTTTTTTAATAATCATTTAATTAACACTACGTACAGTCAATTTTATGACTTACTAGCATTCACCGCGACTCAGTGCGCGTGGAATTAAAAAAAAACTAAAGTGAGTAGGCTATATGTTCTTCCAAACTATCACTTACGTCTATGCCAAATTTCATCGTAATCCGTCCAGCCGTTTAGGCTACAAACTCTAACAAACATCCATCCATCTAAACTTTCGTATTGTTAATATTAGTGTTAGTATTCGTATAGTATGATTGTCATGTAATAACCTAAACATATTATGCATTTCAATTTAATTAAAATTGTTAACATACTTTTTGCTAATGAAAATTTGTTAGTCATCGAGGTGTTTTTTTAATAATATTGTTCAATTTCAGAAAACTACACACTTCAAAGAGGTAATTCGTGTATTTTATTCTATATGGCCGTCCACCGTCACTCGATGTGGGGGCCCGACGCCGAACACTTCAAGCCGGAGCGTTGGCTCGACCCAAACACGTTGCCTAGCAACCCCAACGCTTTTATCGCCTTCAGTCTTGGAAAGAGAAATTGCATTGGTATTTTCTTTCATTATTAATTTGTTCCAATTTAAATTACTTTATATAAGATGTTTATCAGAGACAAAGAGAAGTTAACTTATACATTTCGTGAGGCATTATCTTACTAATATTATAAATGCGAAAGTTTAGATAGATGTTTGTTAGTTTGTAGCCTAAACGGCTGAACGGATTTCGATGATATTTGGCATTTATGTACAGTATAGTCTGGAAGAAGACATAGGCTATTCACTTTTGTTTTTTTTATCACGCGGACGGAGTCACGGGCAGCTAGTGCTTTATACGAAGAGAAGTTTTTCACGCAGTTTATGTATGTAAATTTTTATTGTGACGACAGATAAAACAGCTGAACCGATTTTCTCAAATGAATTGTCACTCGTTTCTTTTCTGGTGTATTCATAGAGTATAACAACATCGACACAAAACACATACAGTGGACGTGAGAATAAGAATTAAAAAATATAAAAAACTGAGTTCAAATCTCTCTCGTCATAACCTTTTTGTCATGAGCAAGAGAGAGAGAGAGAGAGAGAGAGAGAGAGAGAAAGCTTAAACAATTAGATTTTTTAATTTCAGGACGGACTTACGCGATGATATCAATGAAGACTACGCTTGCACATATTCTACGGAGATATCGTATTCATGCAAACGATAATGAAATGCGATTCAAATTGGAATTTCTCTTAAAACCTTCCGCTGGTTATCTAATAAAAATAGAGCGACGATAATTCTAAAAATGTATTAAATTACCAGCTACAACTTGTTCGTTTTTTTAAAAAAAAATTTAAAAATAAAAAAATTAGTTTTAATTTGACTTTATCATTTTTACCCAAATCGTATCTGAAAATATCACGAAACAATAAATTTGATTCCGATTTAAGAAAATAGTGGTAAGGAAATAATAAGAAAAAATCTTTTTCAATTAGAAATAAAACAATTAAATAATGGAAACACATTTATTAAACATTAAAATATTGCCTTTTGTATGTCAAAAATGAAATAATAAAATCACATTTTAAGAAATCGAATATTTTAACAATTTTCTAATTTCTAAGACAGTGTAGTAACAGATAGAAAATCTCATTGAAATGTTTTAATACTAATTATAATTGATTTTTTAAGAAATACAGTCATTTTATATATTATTATTACAATAAAAAGAATATAGTCTATGTCACAACATTTTGAATCTATTAAAACTTCAAATAGAAAATGGAGGAAAACACATTTCCCACTTTTAGTTGAAAAATATCTAAATGTAACAAAAAAAATACACGTAACAGTAAATAAATATCTTTGATATTCTATGCAAAATAAATAACAAAGATTTTTTTAGAAATTGGATACAGATATTATATAACAAGCTTTCCAGAGATTAAAAAAACCATTAAAATTGAGTCCGAAAGAGTTGCCATCTATATAAACAAATTTAGAAGTTAAAATATGATAGAATAATAACGAATTCTCATTAAAAAATCGAAAGGATATCATAAAATCATATCCCAAAAGGTCTATAATTTTCAGATAATTGAATATTATTAAAAATTAAATAAACAAGTATATATACCTAGTTTACATTATCCACAAATAGATTAAAACACCTTCATATTGGCATTTGTGGTAATCCAGTCTCAATCCAGCGCTGGATTCTATCACATGTTATAATGTGGTAGAGCCCGCTTTAACATCTTCCCACTGTAGGGCTCGCCTGGTGTAATACTACGACCACACAGAAAACAGGCGTGAAGTGGAAGCAATTCCGCGTACAGTCTGATGAGTGTAGTGCCAGAGGCCTAATTTTAGTCCCTTTCCCTATCCACCCTTTTCTAAGACAAAATGATGGGAAGGAAAAGTGGATTTGACGGTGGAGGAGACGCATAGGAAGAGGAAAAGTCCCCTTTATGTGTGTCTCCTACTCCGTAAAATAAGGGTAGGCAACGCATCTGCAATTGCAGATGTTTATGGGCAGCGGTCGCTTTCCATTTCGGTGGATTCAGTTGGTCGCTTGCTCGTTTGCCATGTTATAAAAAAATGTAATGTAAACTGGGCATTTATGGCTGGTTCACATTTGCCCAGTACAGCGCTGTAATGCAGACTGTACGGGCTCACTGGCCCTTGTTGCTCAAATTATGCCAGCCCTTATTCCGTTACATTCTCACTATACTGGTATAATGTAAACTAGGTACATAAATAGCCGAAAGCTTTTTCAAATAATATCTTGTCAACTGTTGGCAAATAAACAAAGATATTTAAAAAATATATAGACGAGACAGTGTGCATGTGGAGATGTTATTCGACGAGACGATGGGGACATAAACCAGAAAGTGTTAAGATTAAATGTGGGTGGCTACAAAGGAAGAGAAAGACCGAAGAATGTATGGATGGATTGTGTGAAAGAGGATATGCTTAAGAAAGGAGTGGATTCAGATATGACGGCTGATAGAGATGTATGGAGCAGCACATACTGTGCCTACCCTCCATAAGGGATAAGGGCAAGTTGGTGATGATGACGATGATGATAGACGAGATAGTGTGCAAAAACTTTCCACCGGTACTTTCTCTGACAGGTACTATATCAGTTGTCAAGTTTATTGCCTCGTTTTCTTGTTTTGACATGTAATAGAACATTTTACAAAATATTAACAAGCACTATCTTTTGTTATTAAAAAAATAAACTGTGTCACAAAACAAAATCGTTTAAATATTATTTAACGACATCTATTGTCAATTAATTTAAACACAATTGACATTTGCTGTTATTAGACAGCGTTAGTGATGATAATGTGATAAATATCTCAAGTGTATCTTTGTCTACTCTATATATGTTTTAAATCTCTTTGTCTATAAATCACAATTTACTATAATAAAAATAGTACATCATTATTAACATAAACTCTCTAATATAAAGAAATATTCCCGAATTTTATCCGAAAATTGTAATAGATAAAACAAACACGACTAGCATCATAATACTTTTAAATATACATAAAGGTGGAAATACACGTGCCAGAAAAACTATAGCTGTCACACCAGCTACTGTTTACATGCCAGTAAATGTCAACGAGATCGTATGAGAGACGTCAGAGTTAAATTCGTATTTTAAACCCCTCCCTTTCAAACAAAAGCAAACATCGTTTTGCAAGTTGATATATTCTTTTTTGGTAAGTGCGTAAACTAAGTGTGCCAGCAACTTTTGTGTATTCCCAGCTTTATATCAACTGTCAATATATCGTTTAAAATGGTAACAGGTATACACGGACTGTCCGCTTACAGTACGTGTATGTCGGCCTAAAGTATTCAATTATACTAATTATGTGATTCTTTCCATCGCATTTGCTTAACTTCAATCTTAATACAATCCATACATCTTAGTTCACAGGCCAAGTGACGAAGATTCTATTTTAAAAGTATATAAAAAAAGAAACAACCAAAAGTCTTTTTGATTAAAAAATTATAGTTAAATAGTTTAAATGTAGATATATTCAAATATTAAAAAAAAACATTCTACCAACAAGGTTTTAAATTTCCTATTTCGTTTTTTTAATGTAAAATAATATAAAAATAACACATTGTAATATAATTAACCTTACTTCATTCAAATCGAGTCAAGGTCGACACAAAAACTAACGCAGTATTTGTGTAAAACTTTTTTTGTTTGCGAAATAAATAAATAGTTTTAAAATAGAACCTCGTGAAGTAACACTAAATCACAGTCTATGTAAAATACATTAGTAAGATAAACATTTAGAGCGCACACTTTTGACCAAACTATCGCACAATAGGGAATATGCATGCATTATTTTTCTTTTTTAAACGATTCTACTTGTTATAAAATAACCACAAAAAAAATTTGACGCGAAAATATTCAACCATTGAGCTAAAAATAATAAAATAAAATTACCACCATTTTCGAGCGACTAAAACGCGACCGGAGTTGTCATGAGACGATTGACGTCAATCGTCTATTCCATTCATAACATACGCTCAGATGTCACTTCGACGTAAAACACAACAAAGTTTCTCAAGGTCAAAAAGTCAAAAATCGATTCATTTTTATTATTCCTGGTACAAATAAATTGTAATTAATAATTCTATTCATAATTTTTTATTTTAAAGTTGGTTTTGATATCGTGTTTACAGTAAAATACTTCAAGAGTGTATTTCTATATAAACTAACGTAAATGAACTGTGTATTGTCAACACAGCGACGCCATATTAGATAAGCCACTTGCTTCGACCAATAGTGTGCGTTTTAGAACTTAACGAGGGAATTTGAAAAAGACACTTTTTAATGATTAAATTTTGCCACTAAATTACATTATATTTAAAAAAATCTTTGCAGGAATGTTTTTATAGTAATAAAGTATACTTAAAAAAAGTTTGGTACAATTTGGCGTCATATGCATATTGCCTAATGTAATCTCGCTTTGATTCCTATGAACTTATATGAAGGTAACACTACTCGATGTTTAGTCGTGAAACAGTTGAAGGCTATAAAACAATCGCCATTCGCACGACAGTTGTGCGATAATTTAGTCAAAGGCCCGATTTTACTTAAATCATATATACATAGTTCAACTTATTACCGTCTATTCTAATACAGTTTTCTTTGAAGACATAAGTTTGTTGAACTATAACAAAGGACACACATTTAAATTGACTTCACTGGTTTCTATAAATGAACAGGCTATATGATCTATGCCTATTTTATTTTCGCCATTTTGGCGAAGTAGCTAAATTATAGTAGCTGATGGCAGTTAGTAGCGGTGGTAAGGATTCTTTATAATAATAAAGATTAATTGAACTATTACGCACGCGTTTACACTTAGTTCAAACTATGCCAGTACAGTTAGACTGGGAAACTGGCATACAACTGGCATAATGACAACGCTGACCGGCGCTAGTTGACCATTTACATCAGGCCAGCGTATCTGTCCTATTGTATTGGCGAAATGTGAACCAAGATTTAAATTTGAATGAAGCATTAGCCTATCCATTTATAGAGATCAGTTGACGACACTAATAACTACATTTTTAAATTTAAATATATACTAGAAGTGTCAACCGGCTGAACAATTTTATGTTTCCTATTGTAGGTTTCCACTGCGGAAACATGTATAGAAACATTACATCTCGTTCTTTGAATAGATAGAGATAATAATGTTGTTGTACAAGTGTTTTGAAAGTGTAAACATACGATAAAATAAAAAAAAACATTAACAATAAATACTTACATTTTAACCCGTATCGTATCCGAATCTCAAAACGAAATTATACATTTATATTATTGTTTGAATAAATAATAATAATAAAAATCTCAATTCAAACTTTTTCAACAAAGAAAAGTTCATTTACATCGTAATATAGAAGTTTGATTACGATGTTTAAAAAAATAAATAAACATAACCTTAAAGTAAGTCGAAACACTTAAAAAAACACAATATTATCTCTTAACTGACATAATCTAAAAAAGATTTTGTATATAGAAGTTTGGAGAAACATAAAAATATACATTTAAAACAATTTGTATTCAAATAGTACAATTTCACTGTTATATTACCAATACATGTTATTAGACAAATTATACAAAATTAAACCAACTGACAATTAAAATCTCTTAAGAACAGAATGAATTATTCTAAAAATATCTAGTCGTTCATAATCATGTTCAGTCGGGCGAGGTATTCGAAGTAACTACAAGTTTAGTTTAATAGTTAAATTATAGTTTAATAGTCTCTAATAGTAGAAATGTCAAACTACTTTCACCGAACTAACAAGACGCAGATAGTATATTTAATCGATTGATTTGGACGGTTTCACTTTGTCCTTTTTATCTGAGCTGCTCTGGCTGGTCCTGTAAGAAATATTAATAATAAACTATTTATTTATATTAGTGACTAGCTGTTCGCGTGTGGCTTCACCTGCATGAAATTATAGGTTTATTGTTTGCATTTTTTAAATTCTCAATAGCTAATGTCAAAATACCAATTACCGTACTATGGCAATCCTGCTTCCATGATGTTGGCAGCAACTTATGGTCTCTTTCCCACATTAGGGTTTTTATCCAAAATATTTACTTCGCTAAGTTTAATGGTGTTAAAATATATATCCTAAAGCGTGACGCAAGTGTAGGGCTTTGTATGAAAAAAAATAATAATTAAAAAATATGCTGTAATTGCTGACATCTTAGGCAACAAAGAGTGTGTGTTTACACTTTATTATAGTATAGATATACTATAATAAAGCGTAAACATATA